ATTTGTTGGTTGGTAAGCATCAACATTTTAACCATTCCCAAATTGGGTCAACTTAGGTAACAAATATAGAATTTCTATTTTGTGTTTGTGTTCCCTCTTTAAGAGGAAAATTAGTGGAGTAAAAAGGTAGAAGAAGTAGTGGTAGTTTGAAGAAACTGATGTTTAAGTTTGATTAAGAAATTCTAAATAGACACCTAGAGAGGCTAAATGACTTCAAGTCCCCAAGGCAGGACAAATTGCATCCACTGATCCTAAAAGAATCTGAAAACTAGATCGCTGAACAACTCTCAATGGTCTTTGAGGAGTCATAGGGAACTAGAAGAGCCAGAGGATTGAAGTGCTAAAGGCAAAGGGAGGTTAATTCTCAAAAATCTACAGCAAGGAGCTTAGCATTTCAAAACCAATAATACCTTGCACAAATATATTTTCATTTAAGTTTGCTTAGATACAGAAACAGAGGGTATCCAGACTTTAGCTAGACAGTTGTCAAGGTCCTTTTTGATATTCTTTGGAAAAACCAGAGGAACATGTGTGCTAGTTATCAGCACACTATGGCAGCAAATTTATTATTGAAGGTTTATACGAAACAGGTGCTTATAAACAACTTAAATCAGTTTTCAAACTGTTTGACTACAACTTGCAGTAAGAAATACATATTACATCATTACCTAGTAAGCATACATATGTATTTTTATGTATATGTGCGTGTAATTAAAACAGATTTTATAAAACAGTACTTATCCTTACAAAATAGATGTATTTTGAAATTTCTCATTCTGTGTGTTTCTATTTTATTTCATTTAAACAAAACCCTGCTGGTTGCAACCCACTAAATCAATTTCATGACTCCCTAATGGGTTAGGACCCACAGTTTGAAAAATGTAAATTGATTCAAGCAGAGTGTTACTGGTGACTACTAAGCTGTTTTCACCCTGTTCAATCAAACATTTGAATGAAGGTGTAGAAGGAAATGTTCCCACATTTGCATACAGGACAATAAGGCAATAAATTATTTGCATGATATAGTCAAGATTAAGAAATTCCTAGTGGATGAAATTTAAATGGAAAATTAAAAATTTGAATAAGATAAAATAATTTTTTTTTGACCCAAGAGTCTCACTCTCTTGCCCAGGCTGGAGTGTAGTTGCGTGAACTCTGCTTTTTGCAACCTCTGCCTCCTGGGTTCAAGTGATCATCCTGCCTTAGCATCCTGAGTAGCTGGAATTACTGGTGCCTGCCTGACTAACTTTTGTATTTTTAGTAAAGATGGGAATTTCACAATGTTGGCCAGGGTTGTCTTGAACTCCTGATCTCAAGTGATTCACCTGCCTCGGCCTCCCAAAGTGTTGGGATTACAAGCTTGAGCCACCATGCCTGGCCTTAAAATTTAAATTGATATGTACCATTTTGTACTTTGTATCTCCAAATCTACATGTAAAGCTACAAATTGCACATATGCTGCTGCTAACAAACCAGTAATAGCAAAAGATGAAGGCTTAGCTTTTCAGGGTTGACAATTATTTCATGCAGAAGCTATTGTGGTTAAGAAAGTAAAACCCTTTATTAATCCTCAATAATCCTTGATGGTCTAATCTGCCAATCAAGATGAAACTTTAGGAAGATTACCCATGTAAGGATGGACTATAGAATAGTGAGTGTGGAAAAGAGGAGACCAGGTATGAAGTGACTAGAATCTGCAGGATGGCTGCAGTGACAATGAAAAAAATGGGATGAATGCTAGATCTATTGCAAGGAGGAATGGACAGAGCTATAATTAATTTTAATGGTGATAATAATTTCAAAATGAGAGAAGAATGGAACAAAAATTTTATGAGAACCTACTATGTGCCAAATATGAATGACTACTACATTACATCAATCATTACTGTCATGTTAAGAAAAAAGCCCAAAACCAAAGCAAACCAAGCAGATCTGATTTGATTTGGGGCAACACTAACAGGATCTATATTTCTAAAGGATGAGGTAAGAATTTCCCTCTGTTTTATATGGGTCCAAACCTACACCAAATTTGGAGTATTTTGTTCAGATAAAGTTTAGAGGAAAGCAAGAAATCTGTTCTTTAAAGAACAGGTGAAGAAAGTGGGAATATTTAGTGTGGAGAACTGCTATTTCCATCCATTTATTTTCCAACACATTTATTCATTGTAAATTACAAGTCAGGCAAGATAGGTGTCAAACAAAACCTCCAAAAATGACACAAAATAACTACACAAAATAACTGTGGGTCTTTCCCCACAGCCAATGAAGGGAAACATTATTGATTGACACTTGCTACTACATCAAGCATGTTAAATGCATTAGCTCCTTCAATCCCATGAAATAGTATTATAATCCTTACTTTGGGTTGAGTAAGCTGAAGCTTTGAAGCTAAAGTCATTTTCCCAACATCGCACATATAAGTGGGTGGTGGAACTAGAATCCAAATTCAGATGCCATTGAATCTAGGGCACGACTTCTCAACCACTCTGCAATATTTCTTGAAACTCAGATTCCTAGGTTTCTTATCTTTGAATGGTTGTCCTTAGGAAGCATGGGTATGCAAAAATGCATACAAGCTTAATATTCACCACATAAAATATATTTTTAATCTGTAGATTAAAAAAATAAACATATTAGGTATCTTCTTTTATTATGTAGCTATTTTTTATTTCAAAATACTGTTAATGCAAATGCAAAGTTATTTGTACATTTGCTGGGAAAAGGTTTTATAGGCCAAGGAAAACAGACCTGCTGACTCTTCTAAACTTTATGCTTTTGGGATGGTATGAAAGACATATAACTGTGCAATTATGCAGACTTGTATGTGGTTATAATTGGTATTACATATGTTTATAGGTCATGCAACACATTAACACACATTATGCCTGTATACTAAGGAGACAAAGACACATTAACTTTATGCTAGCTGCTTAGTTGAAATTATTTTATGGAATTCTCACTTCCCTATGGGACAGGTGTTATCAACCCTACTTAAGGAATGAGCAGTCTGAAACTCAAATAGCTTGAGTAGACTGCAAAGGTAGTAAGTTGTGAGTGTGACTCAAAGAATCATGCACTTTCCACAGTATCATAGCACCTATGAGGAGCTGACCGTCTACTGGAGAAAGCTTTTTAATTGGCAAGCTCTTTTAAATATCTCTGAAATTGAATTAAGTATGCAAAGAAGTGAAGTTCTCCTTCTTAGAAATGGTGGTATCATGTTTACCCACTCCTTATCTCCACTAAAGAAAAATAAGCAGAAAAAATACAACCAAATGCACACACATACTGCTTAAGAAAAAAACACATGGAAAATTAAAGTGGAAATGTTAAAATGATGTTAAGCTATTCATTCAGAAAGGAAATAGAAAGTTGAGGTTGTCACTGTCTTTCAAAGTACTCATGCAAGAAGTCTAAAAATAGCAAAAGGTAGAACTTGCTGCCATATACCTATATGCACAGTGGGTAAAAAAACCTAGTGTGACAACCTTTCAGTCTAGAGTTACATATATTTTAAAAAGATATCATTTTAAATTTGCAAATGAAACAGTACTCTTAAAAGCAGATGATACTCACTTGGGACAGACAAAAATGTAGTAGAAGGATATAAATGTTAGGGGATTTTTCCATTATATAGTATATCTCAAGTCACACTATTATGACTTGTATGTTTTGTAAATTTCCCATACAGTTTCAACCATTCCAGCATTTTATAATTCAATTGTCATTTAATTTAAATGGACATACTAGTTACTACTACTTTCAGAAGGGTTTGCTTAACTACCTTAATAATTCAATCACTTTGGTGCAAGTTTAAACAAATAAACAGACATGCAACCAGGAAGTAATCCTAAGCACTGGTTTTGAGGAACTTTCTTATAATCTGTGGTACTTAGAATTTTACTATGTTCCCATATCCCAGGAGTTAACTTGACTAGCAGGTCCAGTTAAATATGAATAATAAAACTGATTATGATGGATTTGTAAATTGACCTTTTTCATTTGAGATGACAAAAGGATCTGAATATACCTCAAGATGCCTAATATTTCTGGTGACTTGCAATAATCTTTATTGAAAAGGGCAGACCTCATGATATATTAAAGAAAAGTATATCCGTCCTTTCAAGGAACAGTCATGCCTATTTAGTTTTAATTCAATACTAGCAGCAAGATTGCTGTGTACATTTTAACTTTTAAAAATTAAAGGTTTATTTTTTGTCTCTTGTATCTCTGCAGACACAGATATGTACTTTTCTCACAGATCAAGGCTGGCAGTGAGAATCGCCCATGTTTTTAGATAATTTCAAAAATCCTGTGAATTGTACATGCCTATGAAAAAGGAAACATCAATAATTGGCATCATACCGGAGGATCCTCAGGGATTTTGAAAAATGGGATTTGTCGTTTCAACTAAACTCCCCCACAGTGTCACACACTGCAGCCTTTTTAGGCTGGGAGGTGAGTTCAAGAGCTGTTTGTTGTTCCGAGCTTGATCCAGAGAGGATCACTGTTTGACAAGTTCTATTTTAAGTCGTGCCTGAGTGTGCAGGTGTTAGCCTTTCATGGCTGTAGAAAAAGCACCATTACGTTCCATCTGTATTCTTCCCCCGACAATGCAGGATCGCCCCCCCTCCCCGTGCGTTTGTTTCTGCTTTGCCAGCCACTTTTTCTTTCGGAAATTCTAGGGAGGGCAGGCGGACAGGACTGCGAGGAAGGGCGAAGAGGGGCAGAAAGAGGTCGTCTGCCACTCCCCTACCTTACAAGGCACGTGGCACTGGCAGTAGCAGCAGCTGGATGCAACAACGGTGATGAGGAGCCTCCTCCTAGCAAGAGGATATTGAGAGAAGGAGGAGGTGGTAGCGAAGGCAAGACATGCACACTGTGTCCTTCCCCACAGGGAGAATCCACCCTCAAGGGAAAAACCACAAGGAAGCCACTACCCGCCCCACCTCTGCCAGCTTGCCCCAGTGTCTGGCAGCAGTCCCCATGCACCTGCTCACCTGTCTATCCGTTCGGAGTGGTTGGGGGAGGGACGAGGGGTGTCGGGGTGGGTAGGTGGGAAGAGAAGGAGGGCAGGGCAAAAGAGGGGGTGCACCGAGGGCTCCGCCCCCCTGGAGGCTGTGCGCAGGCGCAGTGGCGGCTACCGCAGGCAGGGGGCGGCAACATGGCGGAGTGAGCGGCGGCGTCGGGGCTTCACAACAACAGTGGCGCCCGTAGCAGCGGCGGCAGCAGCGTCAGTAGCGTCGGCCACAGCCTGAGCTTCAGCACCGACCAGCGCCGTGGCCAGCTGCTCGTGCCCCAGAGCTTCTCGGAACGGCAGCAGCATCTCCGCGGGGGGCGGGCCGGGCCGGACGGACCGGGAGAGGGAGCGAGGAGAGGCAGCGGCGGCGGCAGCGGCACACCTGCTGGGCGGGCACGGCCGCTCGCCCGGCAGCGGCTAGCGGTACCGCCACCGCCGAGAATAAGCCTGCGGATACCCCGCCGCCTCCGCTGGGGAGAGCGCCGGAGCGGGCCGGGCTGAGGCGCAGGCGAGGAGCGGGCCCGGCGCCGCGGCGCTGGTGGATGCTGGGGCTCGGAGGCGACGGCCGGGGGGCGGGGGCCGAAGCAGGTATAACGGTACCGGCGGCGGCAGCGCCGCTGCTCTTCCCTTCTCTTCAGGAGGGGGGCCAATGGCGAGCGAGAAGCCGGGCCCGGGCCCGGGGCTGGAGCCTCAGCCCGTGGGGCTCATTGCCGTCGGGGCCGCTGGCGGAGGCGGCGGGGGCAGCGGCGGTGGCGGCACCGGGGGCAGCGGGATGGGGGAGCTGAGGGGGGCGTCCGGCTCCGGCTCGGTGGTGCTCCCCGCGGGGATGATTAACCCTTCGGTGCCCATCCGCAACATCCGGATGAAATTCGCAGTGTTGATTGGACTCATACAGGTCGGAGAGGTCAGCAACAGGGACATCGTGGAGACGGTGCTTAACCTGGTAAGGAAAAGGCGTGCTCTCCATCTGCTTCCCCAGCCCCCACATCCTCCGTCCCCAACGCCTCGCTCCTACCCTCCACCCCTAGGGTCACACGCGCCGCGCGTCCCTGGGAGCACAGAGCGTTCTGCCGGTATTGCCCAGCGGGTGACCTGTCTGCGTGCTGCCAGAGCCGTGTCACCTCTCTCCTCCCCTCTCTCTGGTCCTCTCCTGCCACCTGAGCGCAGTGCCCAACTTAACACCGCTTCTTATCACTCCTTGGGACTACGAGTCAACCAGTGTCCTCGGTGAAGGTTTTGGGTTGACTTTAGAGTTTAGTTAGGAGGTGAGGAGGCCTCCTTTCTCCGGGCGTCTTTCTCCCACACTCTTAATTGTCCGTGGTGTGGCTCTCCGAGGATGACAGCCTTGCCCCTGGAGCCCCAATTCCCCGTGCTGCTGAAATGTGAGAAGCGCATTAGCTTCCAACTTGAACAGCTGGGGTGGGATGTTTTCGAGGAAGAAAGAAAATGATGCAGTTTTGCATCTGTCTTTAAATATTCCAAGGCTATGATGGAGAGTGTTGTGTCTGTATCCATTCCCCTCCATCTCTTAAGCAGCCGTCCCTTCTTTGTAATATTGCCCCGAATATACTGATCCCTTAGTTATTTTTTGTGCACACAAGGTGTGCACCTTATGTGAGGGCACCAAATCATACAGGTTGATTGCTGTGGTTACCTTCAGTCTCGTGGCATGTGGTAAAGACTAAAGGAAAGGTTTTAAACGCAGCCCTAGGTTTTGGTTCCTTTCATGATAAGAAAGAGTTACTGCAGAAGTGTGTATGACTTAATGTTTTGCGCTATCTACAGAGAGGCTCAGAAGCGTTTAAGATGTCAGGGAAAGAAATGGAAAGAAGTAAGGAGAGGAGAATCATAAATTGAGGATAATTAAGAGCGGTTCATTTTTAGTGCTTTGTAAATGGAGTTTTTTTTTTTTTTTTTTTTTTTTTTGCAGCAAAGCTTTTTATACAGTTTTCTCTACAATATCTAGTCTGACATACTGTAAGGTTGGGCTTTGGGAGGCAAGACATAAACCGAGAGCAATCAATTGGGTATTGTATTTGGTTTGGAGTCACAGGAATATAAACCCATGCTTACAGGGGTACTTTGTAACACCCATGCAGTCTGGTTTTTCAGCTAAGCAATTATTTTTACTTGCTTTATTGGAAAACTGAGAGAAAGCTGCAGCTACATCAGTGGTGTCCTGAGACACGAATTAAATAATGTCTGCGGTTTATGAACCTCCTAAATTCATAGAAAAGTTGAAGCGTTTTTTTTTTTTTTGCCCTTTTGCTAGTGTGTGAAGCGAAAGCAGATTATCTGTCTTTGTTACATTCATTGCTGTTTAAAAGAAAACACCTCTTTTTACTTTTGTGTACCATTCAAATAAATCATCATGAAAAGTCAGTGTAAGTTGAGGGAATGTCACTAAGTTGATTTAAACAAGTTCTTTTCAGAACTCTACTAGAAGTATGGTTTTCTTGAGTTTTAGTTTTAACTAGCTGCAAATAAGAGGTCAGTACTTGCCATTTCTTTTTAAAAGAAGATAAATGAAATTTCAAACTGTCAGTATGTTGGCAGGCAACTGTATTTCTGTAATTTAAAGGAACACATTTCAGGTTTTTCCAGTTTTGATCTAACCAGTATCATTTTTACATTACATTATATTAGGCTGTTTTATTAAGTATTTGTGTGCTTACTTAATACATTTTAACCTGGTAAGAGGCAGTAGAGCTTTCACAACCTAGAAACTGATTTGAATGTATAACCAGTTTGGACTCTGCAGCAGTAGCAATGTATGCTGAATCAGTTCTTAACAGATGGGGTTTTTTAGATATACAGTAGACTAAGAAAGGAAGTGAAATGTTTCTCTTGAGATAAAAAAGAAATTTAACTCTTCAGAGCAGTGAAAATCTGGCATGAAGTTTCAATATGCAAATGTTATTTTGGAGAACTTTACCATTAAGCTTAGAGTCACTAGAAATAAAGTAATACTGAAATAGTATATCCAAAAATCCACTTAAGACTTTGTAATTGCAATGATATTTGGAATTAAAAAAGTTAGGTTTAAAATTTCTTTGTATGTATTTAAAGAATGCAATAAATTTTTAAATAGAAACTTTTGGGGAAAAGAATAAATAACAAAAAGCTGTTTATTACTAAGTTGTTAATTATATTATGAAATATAAACTAGTCATTTGAAGCGTAATATTTCTTGAACTATAGGCTTAGGGCTTTATTGTCCAATACACTCTTGAAAATGTCATATGAAAATTTAAGCAGATTCTCAAAAATATGTGGAAGTCATAGGCATTTAAAAATTCATTATTGCAACTTAATTCTATTTATTTAATAAGTAAGCCTATAAAATTCATATAGGACATTCAGTGACTCCTTAGAGTTTGGAAACCTTTAATATTAAATCTAAAATGATTTTTTTTTATTTTTCAGTTTCAATTTAATGCATTAAAAATGAAAGGTGAAATAGTGAACTACCTATTACTGTGCCCTGAATGACGGAAAAGAAAGTAGAACTAATGAAATGTCAAAACAGGGGTTTCTGCCTTCAACAGTATCCTGTCTCAGTCACTTTTGTCAGTATATTTTTCCTGTTTCTTTTTTCTTCCTATATAAGAATACTCATAAATACTTGGTTTTTAGATGCTATTTCTCACAGGCCTTGGCCAAAGAATTAAAAGTTGGGCAGAGTCAAGTTTAAGCAAGCATACACTAAAATATAGTACTTCTTCAACACAGAAGTGGCTGTAATTTTTCTGCTTTGTTTCCCAAAGGTCTAGAGACCCATTTTTACTGCTAGGTGGACTGTGGGAGTTTGGTGAAGAATCACCAATGTGATATGAAGCACAATGAGTGATTTTTTATTAGAGATGTATTTCGTGTAATGATGTTATAGTTGACTTAAAACATTGAAATTGGAATGGATAATGTTAGGAAGACGGGTAAATTAGTTTGTGAATAAAGTTGCAATGAGAGTGTATTGTCAAGGATTTTGCATTATAGCTCTATTAATAAAAGAAACCGGTCATTAAACTGACTTCAGGAGAAGTTATTTAATGTGGCAGTATAAAAGAATTTACAGAGAATAGATTTCGTTGATTGTTTTCAGTTGTGAAGATGGCATACTACCTAATCTATATCTTTTATAGGTGCACTTAACATGTTTATATAAGCTTTCTACATATTTGAAGTAAAAGCTGTGTAAATATCATGTGTTATCATTGTTTAGAAAATGAAAGTTTCTCTTATAAACATATTTCTTGAAAAATATGTTTATAATAGAGGATTAATATCTACTTCATGAAATCATAAATTTTTTTGGAGTGGCTTTCTTATGTATTATGATATAATTCTGTGATTATAATTATAGAATTTAATTATAGACTTGAAGTTTTTTATGAATAACTGAATTCATGAAATTTTTTCATGGATTTGTAGATTTTTTCTCATGAGTTACTGTGAGTTATATCAGTGTGTCTAGTTGTAGAGAAAATAATATTTCCTTTGATTATTTTTTTACATTCTAATTGGCATATGGTTGGCTGTATTAAAAACATAACAAGATACCTTGAGGGGATTTATGGTTTACTAAGTTTCTTTCATCTTGGCTTATGGATCATGGCATTTTTGTTAAAAGGGAAACTTTAAGTTTTTTTTGTACTTGAATATGACTGTAACTCTTCTTCCTTAGAGTTTTTTTAAATTTGCAGCTTGATAGTCATGATTTTCATTTCAAAGATATTTAGAATTTTACAAACAAGAGATGTCTTCTACGTTTGAATTAAATTTATTTAAAAATATATAGCTGCATCTTATAATCATGGAGGTCCTTATGTTGATATGTAAGCCTTTTCATATTAACTGGAGTTGTATTTTATTCTGGCAATTGGGTATGGAAAATAAAATTAAGAATTCATATATAAATGCTAGGGGTTTTAATATCTTAAGGAGTTTTGAGATTTTCCACAGAAATATTAATTTAGTCATATAATGACACTAAGGCAGCAAATATTCTATAGTCAGTCTATGATCATGTTGTATTAATTTTAAGTAGATATTGTGTATGTTGCTAGTTACTTTTTGGCAA